CAGGGTCAGATCCCAGCAGCTCAGAGGGAGATTTTGATGCGAGTGACGGAATTCCCACCTGCAATATCTCATCTCCAGCCATTGCTGGCTCGTTCCAGGAGCAGCTCCGGTTCCTGCAGGGACAAAAAGCAGAACCCAAGCAGGGAAAGAGACCTGGTTTGCATCTGCAAGGACCTGAATTTGTCTCAGGCCTTCGGGGAAATTTTTGATGCAGAATCATTCATTGTGCAGCACCTGAACAACATCTCTGCTCTCTTCTGGACTGAGGGTTCCCTTACATTTGAATTGTTGGGTTCCTTTAAATTTCAATTGCTGGACTATAAAGAGAGTTCCTTTAAATTTGAATTTTTGGGTTCCTTTGAATCTGAATTTTTGGGTTCCTTTCAGTTTGAATTTCTGGAGAGTTACTCATTGAGCAGTACCCGAATAACATCTCTACTCTGTTCTGGACTGAGGGTTCCTTTAAATTTGTATTTTGGGTTCCTTTAAATTTCAATTTCTCGACTATAAAGAGGGTTCCTTAAATTTGTATTTTGGGTTCCTTTAAATTTCAATTTCTGGACCATAAAGAGGGTTCCTTTAAATTCGAATTTTGCGTTCCTTTAAATTTGAATTCTGGACTATAGAGAGGGTTCCTTTAAATTTGAATTTCTGGGTTCCTTTAAATTTGAACTTCTGGACTATAAAGAGGGTTCCTTAAATTTGATGTTTTGAGTTTCTTTAAATTTCAATTTCTGGATTATAAAGAGAGTTCCTTTAAATTTGAATTTCTGGACTATAAAGAGGGTTCCTTAAATTTGTATTTTGGGTTCCTTTAAATTTCAATTGCTGGACTATAAAGAGAGTTCCTTTAAATTTCAATTTTTGGGTACCTTTAAATTTGAATTCTGGACTATAGAGAGGGTTCCTTTAAATTTGAATTTCTGGGTTCCTTTCAATTTCAATTTCTGGACTATAAAGAGAGTTCCTTTAAATTCGAATTTTGCGTTCCTTTAAATTTCAATTGCTGGTCTATAAAGAGGATTCCTTTAAATTTGAATTTCTGGGTTCCTTTAAAGTTCAATTTCTGGACTATAAAGAGGGTTCCTTTAAATTTGATGTTTTGAGTTCCGTTAAATTTGAATTCTGGACTATAAAGAGGGTTCCTTTAAATTTGAATTTCTGGGTTCCTTTAAATTTGAATTTCTGGACTATAGAGAGGGTTCCTTTCAATTTCAATTTCTGGACTATAAAGAGGGTTCCTTAAATTTGATGTTTTGAGTTTCTGGGAAATTCTCGGCTCGTTGCAGGAGCAGCTCCGGTTGGTGCCGAGACCCCGA